CCCCCCGGAACACGTACCATTGTTCTACAAACAAGCTATCATTCTTCTACTGACAACAGAACCCCCCCGGAACACGTACCATTGTTCTACAAACAAGCTATCATTCTTCTACTGACAACAGAACCCCCCGGAACACGTACTGTTGTTCTTCGGCGTGAAGTGGTGCTGCATGGAGGCGATGCTCGAGCGCGTGAACTTGTCCGGCTGGATCTTGTACTGGTTCGCGAGCAGCTGCGGAATGCTGTTCTCCTCCTCGAGGAACATCTGCATGCGGATGAACGGCTCGCGGCCCTTCTGCGTCAGCATGTGCCAGGGCTTCGGCCGCGCGAGCAGGTCGCTGACGGACCCCTGCGACAGGCCGAGCACCGTCTCGCCGAACAGACGCTGGCTGATCGAGTACTGCGACAGCTGCTCCTTGATCTGCCGCACGATCTCCTCCGTGTTCAGCGTGCCGTACTTGTCGAACTGCTCCTGCGTGACGGGCGGTAGCACGGCTTTGAGCGGCCGCTGCGCCGGCAGCGCCATCTGCTGCTGCATCAGCGAGTTCGCGATCGACTGCATGCGCTGCAGCGGCGACACGTCGGCCGGTTTCGCGTCGGCGCGCGGACGCACGAGCGAGAACGCGCTGCCCGCGTGCCGCAGCGCCCCCTCGTGGCCGCAGAGGGGCGCCGCGTCGCAGTCCGCCGCGTCGACGGGCTCCGTCTTCACGTTCGGGCTCGCGGCGGCGGCGGAGGTGGAGGTGGCGCCCCCCGGCGGCGAGGAGAACGCGCGCGGCGACGGGTAGGGCTGGCCGAGCTTGGCGAGCTCTTCCTGGTAGATGCGCATGACCATGTCGTGCGACGTGAGCAGGTCCTCGCTGTGGCTGCGCTTGTTTCGCTCCTCGCCGCCGCTGCCGCCGCCGCACGAGGGCGGTGGCGACCTCTGCTGGTGGATGATCTTTGCGAGCTCCTGCTGGTAGATGGAGCTGACCATCGCCGAGCTCATGCCACCGTTCTCTTGTTTGTCCTGGTTCTGCAGACACAGCGGACTGGTCTTTAGAGAAAAGAGAATCGGACGATTAATCGCGGCACATGGGGAGGTGCGCGGGAGGGGGACCTAGAGCCAGGGACACACGCACGCACGCACGCACGCACGCACGCACACATGTACACGCACGAACGCACGCACAGACATACAAACGCTGCCATGCACGCATGCGCACATGAGAGAAGGAGAGAGACAAAGAGAGAGAAAGAGAGAGAAAGAGAGAAAAAGAGAGAGAGAGACAGAGAGAGAGA